GCGGGAGCGCTGCTGCGCTTCCCAAGCGGCGCACTGTAGCAGTGCACCACCGGGCCGGCCCAAACTATGAATTCTTAATCTACTTTTGCAAAATAACCAAATATATATATTTATATATTGCATTGTAAATTGAATAACACTGAAAAGGCTTTGAAAGCATTAAAATGCTTAATGAATAACTATATATGGTATTTTTTACCCCTCATTATCAAAAGGTTTCATGAAGTTTTCAAAACCCTAGCTGAAAGTGATGAGGGAAAGTTACATGTGCTAAGAGTTATGTTTGAAGTTTGGAGGAACCACCCACAGGTAAAAACTATTTAATCAGACATGTTGCGTCTCTGTATATGTACAAAAAATAAGGCAGTTAACCATTGTTTCAGTTTGTAAAACAAAATCTGACTCTATAGAATGGTTTTTAAATCTGTAAATTTTTTAGTGCTTTAGGAGTAATGATGTTTAATTCATTCTTTAAAGATCAAGTATTAATGATTTGATTTTGGACTATAATACCTCAACATATTTTAAATGCTCAGTAACAATGCTGTTGCTTTGAAAATTCTACCAGTTGGGTAAGAAATGGTTATTTAGTCTATCTAGTTTCTACAAACAAGCTCCAGATTTCTCAAACCTCGATATATTGTTTTCATACTGTGTATTTTTAAAAAGCATTGAAATAAACTTCAAAAGACAGTTAAGATTTTTTTTTATGATTAAACATTGTATTTTTTAACTTTGGGGATTCAATTGAAATTATATATACTTTTTTGTATACGTATTATCATCTAAAACTATATCTAGAGAGAGAGAAGTGTTACCATTCAGAGTTTTTCTTTCAGTTAATTTTTATTGGTATTATATAGTATTTCTTACAGCCAAGCAGAGGGTGGAATAAATTTTAAGATCTAATGGTCAAATTGATCAATTCCATAGCCACTAAAAATGAATTTTATGTCCCTCCTATTTTACTTTTACAGCAATAGTATTATTTTGGCTTACATATAAGTGTGATTTACCCTAACAATTCTTCTTTAATTGTAGATGATTGCTGTACTAGTGGATAAGATGATTCGCACACAGATCGTTGACTGTGCTGCAGTGGCAAATTGGATCTTCTCTTCAGAACTATCTCATGACTTTACTAGGTAATGTGAATTATTTTACAAAATTTGTGTTCTCTAAGAACTGGTATACATGTGGCCTCTTATACATGAGCTCCAAATTCTGGTCCAAACCAGTTTGATATTAATATGCTATTGGTTCGTTCTGGTAAGATTGGACTTGGCATTTTCCTAGACAATGGAAATATATATAGCCGGTCAGGTTGCGGCAACTTTTAGCGACACTCTTTTAAGCTGAATTAGGACTAAACCAATCAGGTAGAAATGCTGTTGAAGGATCCAGACTATCGGGAGAGAAAACCATTAAGAACTGGCTATGTGTCAAGAGTCTCAGCTCAGGAAGCATTCCAGCTCTGGTGGGGATGGGACTTGGAATGCACACCAGGAACTAGGAGAAACCAAAGTTGTAGTAGGTTAAATACACATCATGGAGGGATCAGGGAAAGCCTGGTGGGTGCCTGGATGCCTTTGGGGAGCCAAGGATGGGGTCTTATCTCTGTCATAAAATTCTAGATTTAATGCAGAAGATTCATTCTAGACCTATTTACCCTAAAGGAAAGAAACTTTCACTAAGCTTGATTATTATTCGTGGAGTTCCACAGGCTTTATATTTAATCAAGACTGAGACAGCAGGAATTGACACAAAACAGGAAACAAAAGCAAATTACTTGGAAAGACATAAAAATCCATCAAAACCTTTAACTTCTCCACTGTATCTGTTATTTCCAGAGGACACTGGTGTGAAATAAACTAAATCCTTAGGGTAATAGGGTATGATCTAAGGTTGTCATACCAACCAAGTTGGCATTCACAAATGAAGACAACAGAAGGGCATTCTCATATTTGCAAACTGTCAGAAGACTGACTACCCAAGTATATGTTAACCATTTTACCAACTGATTTACATTTCCAACTTATTTCATCCTCACAACACCACCATAGAGGAGATTCCATTATTGTCCACATTTTACAGAATAGGAAAATGTTACAGAGTGCTTAAGTAGCTTGCCCAAAGTCACACAACTAAGTGCAGAGCCAGGATTTAAACCCAGGCATTCTGGAATCCATACATTGCTCAAGAGCCCCATCTGTTCTTTAACACCTAGCTCAAATATCTCTAACTGCAAAGCTTTTCCTGACCACCCTTCCAGAGTTTAAAGTGCTCTGGTTTTTTGCTGTGTCTCCTAACATTCTAGACTTGGAGTTTTATGAACAGATTGTTTCATCATCTACCACTTACACTATCTTCCAGGTCAAAATTTGTAGAAAGAAGTACTATTTTGTGCTGTATCCTGGGGTTAGGAGTCCTAGTTTATAGATGCAAAAGTAGCTAAGAAACTACTTTTTAAAAATAAGCCATTAATAGGGCTGGCCCGTGGCTCACAAGTGCCGTGCTGATAACACCAAGGCCACGGGTTCAGGTCCCTATATATGGATGGCCGGTTCACTCACTTCGGTGAGCATGGTGCTGACAACACCAAGTCAAGGGTTAAGATCCCCTTACCAATTATCTGTTTAAAATAAATAAATATAAATAAATAAATAAAAATAAGCCATTTATGCAACAAACATTTTAAAACCTACAAGATGATCCTGGTATTTGAGCTGTTTGCTAATAAGGTAGCTGATCTCTAAATATTTAGCTCATTCTTAAAGCCCAGCAGTTGATAACTGTTATTTACTTAGAAGTTTCTTAAATGTTCCAAGAGAATTGGCTGGTTATGTGCTAGTTAAATAGTATAAAGCATGAGAAATGAGCCTCAGGTCACCATTTTGAGAAAAATCCAACACTTAGTGTTTACATTTGGAAGAGAGAAAATGTATTTCTGTTCCTAATGTTAGTGATTTTCATAGTTTGTCAATTCAGTTCAATGAATATGTACACACACCTTCTATGTATATCTAGTAGGGGATAGAAGTAAGAAAAATGACAAGGACACGGTACTGCTCTCAGGGAGCTCACCTGAGTCTGATGTGTGGAGATAGATGGTTACACAAATTACAATAAAAGGCAAATCATGAGTGTTTGCTGGAGAAATGACTAATTCTGCCCAAAGAGTAGAAGGCTATATCAGCCCTTAAGAATAAACAGGTTATAAAATTTATCTATAAGCATGGCTTAACATACAGTAACCAATGCCATATTACTTTAAGATTGTTTGTTTGGGAAATCTTGCACTCTACAATTCGTAAGATGAACAAACATGTTCTGAAGATCCAGAAAGAGTTAGAAGAAGCTAAAGAAAAACTCGCAAGGCAACACAAACGGGTAAGTCTTGTGTTAATTTGTAAATGGCTAAAGAAGGTGTACCAGAAACTGGAGAAATTCAAAGTCCATTACCTTGATGGTAATTTATTTGTTCTGAGTCCAAATTATTCAGAGCTATTTGCAAAAGCAGAGGAGGAGAAAGGAGCAAGCAGTCTGCTATACTTCGTGGTGAACCTCTTTATGAAGGCACAAACTTTACTTTTTCTATAGTTCACTATCTCTGGGTCATCTTCGTGTTTGCACTTCCTAAAAGGGAAGGAGGAGAAGGGAAGAGGACACTTGTATTTCTGTGAGAGTCTCTGGTGCAAGAGGGGAAGAGTGAGAAGATTGTAGATGCTTATCACTTCCCTAGCACTATGAGCAGGGATGGGGCAGTTATTCCCAGGTTTACAAAATACTTCTCATAGTAATAAGTTGTTTAGTATTTTAGCCATTTTGGAGGGAGGCAGTGAGCTGGCTGCACTCTATGACTTAACATGATTGTACCGGTATTCTTCATGATAGTATTTTCCAGTGTTATGCATATTTACCAGAGCAGCAGTGGGAAAAAACCAAGTTTAATGACTTCTATGAATCTACAGTAAGTTTGAATGCCAGTGTCCATATATACAAATATGGATGTAAACACACACTCGCAGATCTAAAATACTGGAAGGTAGAGGGTTGTCCCATTTTATAGATGTATAAAACAAGACTCCGGGGCTGGCCCGTGGCTCACTCGGGAGAGTGCGGTGCTGATAACACCAAGGCCCCGGGTTCGGATCCCACATAGGGATGGCCGGTTCGCTCACTGGCTGAGCGTGGTGCTGACAACACCAAGTCAAGGGTTAAGATCCCCTTACCGGTCATCTTTAAAAATAAATAAATAAAAATAAATAAATAAATAAATAAACAAGACTCAGAGAGGTTAAGTAACTTGCTCAAGGTTACATAGCTAGTAAGTGACAAGAGTTAGGTTCTGACCCAGGTTTGTCAGAGTCCAGAGACTTTCCCTCATGCCACACTATTCTCTAGAAGTGTGCTGTCCAACACAGTAGCTGCTAGCTACATCTATTTAATTAAATGCAATTTTAAATTGAGTTCCTTAGTCACACTAACCACATTTCAAGTGCTCAGTAGTCACATGTGGCTAGTGTCTATTGTAAGGGGCAGCACAGATTTATATAACATTTCCCTCCTTGCAGAAAGGTCTATTGGATAGTAGTGTTCTAAAACCTTACCTTAGAGTATGTTATGAAAAGACAAATCATTTACACGCGATGCAAACCTCATAACAGGTGCTGTACCAAAAAGAAAAGCAGAGAAGAGTTCTGATAATTTTGCTTAAAGAGTGGAGATGGCTATCATAGATGGGGTCATAGCAGTAGAGTATTATCTAGAAGGATTACCAGGCTCTCTAGGTTCCGTGATGCCTCCTTGCTGAAAGGAAGTTGGTATGTAACATGCTTCCAGCCAGGTTCTGGCTCTGCCACTTTGTGGCTAGGTGACACTGGAAAAGTCATCTAACCTCTCTGCCTGTTCCCTTTTCTGTAAAATGAAGATAAACCATGCCTTGTTTTTCTTCTCCCTTTTTTAAAAAAAGCCAGAGCAAATGCTATACTCTTCAGGGTGAGCTGGAAGGGAATTATTAAAGCTTTATAGAGGTGTATTGAGCCCATATTGCCAGCAAAGAGTCTTGAATGGTCTGCTTTGAATTATTACATATCAGTCGTGGCCATTTCTGAGTTATCACAAGGATTAGCATTCTGTGGCTCAGGAGCTACAAAAAGGACTGCCCATCTGTTCCACGTGGGATGAAAGATTAGCAAGCTGCCTCCTTGCTGTTACTGTGCAAACGGTCAAAGAGTGACATTTTATAGCCAAGACCTCCAACTGCCATGACCAGAACAAGTGCCACTAAATTTCCCTTGCCTAGATAAGTACCCATGGAACTTCTGAGTGAGAAGACCTTGTCTCTGAACCACAACAGGACTTTGAGAGGTGTATTAATGTGTATGGGAGATGGAGGTTCAGGGATACTTTCACTATAGAATACAAGTCTTTAAATAGCATTTGACAAGACACAATAAAACCCTTCCCCTTACTTGACAGGATTTAACACACTGGAATTCTAAATGATATTTCCTTTTTGTTACTTTGCCTTCTGTAGCGAAGTGATGATGACGACAGAAGCAGTGACAGAAAAGATGGGGCTCTTGAGGAGCAAATAGAAAGACTGCAGGAAAAGGTGGAATCTGCACAGAGTGAACAAAAGAACCTCTTCCTCGTCATATTTCAGGTATCTTGGCTTGGGGCATTGATATGTAAAAGGAAACAATACATTTCTTTAGTTTTTAAAATGTTATTTTTAATCATAAGAGGAATATATGCTCATTTATATAAGAGTTTAAAAATACAAAAATTTACAGAGGAAATGAAATTAAGTTTACCACTAGGAAGCTACCATGTATACCTCTAGTTCTGTGCCGTTTATTTGGCATTCTTGCATGAGCATTTCCCAGTGCTTTAAAAAAAATATCATGGGTTGCTTTTGTTTAATACCTGTCTCATTTAATTATTCCCTATTATTGATCATTTAGATGATTGTTTGCCTTCCATGAATATTTTTGTACACAGGCTGCTGTTAACATTTCTGATTATTTCCTTAGACTAAGTGCCAAGAAGTAGTATTACTAGGATAAGTAATTTAGGCATTAAAGGTCTTTATGTGCTGCCAAAAAAGGATGTACCGGCTCACATTATTACTGGTTTGCCTTTCTAGTTTGACAGTATTTAATGAATTATGAAAGTTAGGAGCACACACCACAAAGACAGAGTGGAATGAGCAATACTTTGGGTCTCTGTCATGAATTTTTTTCTGAACTATAAAATTCTACTTCTAATACTGCTTTAACTTTGTTCCCCCTTTCCAGCGTTTTATCATGATCTTGACTGAGCACTTAGTACGATGTGAAACTGATGGGACCAGTGTGTTAACACCATGGTATAAGAACTGTATAGAGAGACTCCAGCAGATATTCCTACAGGTCTGTGGGGAACTTTGATTAAATAATGAACACCACTATTAGCCACAAAGGTTTTCTATGAAAAACAAACCTTTGTCAGGTTTGTCAGGAGGCCGTGTAGCATCTGTGGGCACTTTAGTGCATGTCTGTTTGGTGCTGCTATTGCTTGTCAGAATGCCCAGAATTAAATTGGTTCTGTATTACTTAGACTCCTAGTTGCCAGTTTCTATGCCAGGGAGCCAGCTGTAGTATAAAACGTAGAGGAAAAATGCTAAGGGAACAGTGACTGGATTTATAAAAGCCCTTAAAATCTAATATTAAGATGATAAATAGTGCCCAAGCAAGGTAAGCTTCCTGGGTCTCTCTGCAAAAGCGAAATGCCAACACCTACTATCAGCTAGATTAAAGATATGTAGGAGAGTGGAACTAATTCTTTGTGTCTTTGGACAGCAACCTCCCAAATTTTTGTTAGTTCTAGAAAAGAAATGCAGAAGTCATTTAAAATAAAAAGATTTTAAAGAGATCAATTCTTTAAGCCTCCCAATAGGAATTCCCTATAAATTTTTTTAATTACTGCCAAAAAGCTCTAACAGCCCTCAGTCCTATAGTAATCTCCAAGTATATTCAAATCTATATAGGAGCACATGGGAAGAGGTTATTTCATTTTCTAACACTTTTTATTAGTAAGTCAGTCCCTATCTGGGCTGCTTTTTTTAAAAGTCATAATGTACTATGTCCTAATTAGGGGAGAGACCCAGCTGAACCTAGTCCGTAATAGTGGTAGTAGCAGTAAGCAGGTGCTGCAGCCCAGGCCTTGAGTCATAGAATTTGGGAAGAACTGGATTTTTAAAAGTTCATGAGCATCCATTTTTCTCACTTCCCTCTACATTTCTTAATGTTGGGATTTTTCAGGGGCCCGTTATTCTTATCAGCATGAACTGTTTTTTTTTTTCCCTACCCTTTGCTGGTTCCATAGCATGGGTGGGCTGCTGAGGGAAATGTTCTACAAGATTGCATGCTTTCCCTGACCTAAACACCCCTTTTTCTGTGTCTGCAGCATCACCAGATAATCCAGCAGTACATGGTGACCCTGGAAAACCTTCTCTTCACAGCTGAATTAGACCCTCATATCCTGGCCGTGTTCCAGCAATTCTGTGCCCTGCAGGCCTAAGGGTCATTTTTTTCCCCTCGTGTCAAGTTTTTTTTAAGTATCTTAAAATAATTTGTCTTATTTTTGATGGTTTGTGTGCTTGCTTTCTGTAGTATCCTTTCACTTCTTAAAGGAAACAAATAGAGGGGCGGGAACAGTGAAGAATATGACATTACCTTTAATTGTCCCTAAAAAGCAAATATTTCCTAAAGACAGTAATGTGACAGTGACCAAGATGTATTATGTATGTGACAGATTCAACTTTTCTGTGATCAGTTTGATATTTTTTCTTCTTAATGCACAAAATAACTGATTTGAGGTATGTGAAACACTAGAGGTCAGATTTACAAAGTGTAGTATA